CTCTTGATTTTTCTTTAGTTATATTTGTTAGGCAATCATGAGGCATTCATGTTGAATGTCATTGGATATAGTGATTCTTGTTCATTCTTGTTTCTTAAGAAAATGTGGAAAAAAAATACTCTTAATTGCTAAAATGTTCAAAGTATAGGTAATTTTTATGATTTTTGAGGAAAAAATGATGATTTAAAGAAGAATTTGAAGCATTTTGATGCAATTTTCCTTCAACGATTGAATCTAGTGTACAAAAAGTGATCAAGACCATTTGTTAGATTTTCTTAGCCTTTTCTTAGTTGTTTTCATTTTCATTTGAGCTTTATTGTTCCTTATTTGTGTCATGATTTTTATACATACTTTGTATATTTTCTTCTTAAGCTGATTAGAGTTGCTTTAGCATTGTAGTAAACTGTATGGAAGCTTAAGAAAGATGAAAAAGCAAAAGGGTGCAGTTTCAAGGCCTAATTGGAGCTAATTTGGAGCTTGACTTTCATTGACTAATATTGGTTTAGTTGGCGTTTAAATGACATTTCATTGGCTGGCTGAACTTCATGAAAACGCATAAAAGTACTTTGGTGGTTCAAGTGTGAACACAAGGGAAGGCCAATGGTTACTTGCTGACTTGGCATTCTATAGGCTTTTAATTGGTGCAATTTAAGTGACTTGAAGCTTGGTTAACTCAAAGAAAAGCACTTGAAGAGAAGTGAAGTGAAGAAGTGCAACTAAGATACCTTCTAGAAGATTTTAAATGAGCTAGAAATATCTTTCCACTTCTCATCCCACATGGCATTTTGGAGGAAGCTCATTGGATTTTTATATCTAAGATTTGCCTATAAATAGGATTAGAAGAGGTAGTAATAAGGGAGTTAATTTTTTGCATTTAAAATTTTCACTTGTAATTTTTTTTCCCTCTCCAAGTAGTTTTTTCCCTTTTCCTTTTGGAGGCTGCTTGGAAGGATTTTCCTTTACATTTTCTTACAAATTTACTTTCATGCACTTTAATTTTCATGCAAATTTACACCTCGTTAATGCAATTTAAGAAATTTCTTCACTTTCTTGCACATTTATTTGCATTTCCCTTTATTTTTTCAACATTGTTTGGCTATTGTTTTTACTAAACTTGCTTTTGTTTTCATGCTTAATCACTTTGTTTTGGTTATGATTTTTCCTTGAAATTTTTACTAAAATTATAAATTCATAGCATTTTAAATATGAAAAAATTTGCATTTAAATTCATTCTACAAAATTTTCTAAAATTCCTACAAGTTTTGGCCAAATGTTGGCAGCAGAGGAAGCAGTGATTAGTGACAGCAACTTGAGGTTGCTCTCTTCTTTGCTTCAGGTGGTCCATACTTTTCATTTTCTTTACTTGCTATTTTGCTTTTTTAGATTGAGATTTATTTTTCCTTGCAATTTAACTCATGTTTTTATTTGTTGTTTGGTTAATTTCGTTGTTACATGTTTTATTTTCTTCATTTTTACTACTTGAAATATTTTGAGTCCATTAAGTTGAATTTAAAGCTCATTTGTTGATTTAGCTTCTTAGAGTTTAGTTTCAATTCAATTTCCTACTTTAGCTTTAGATCTAGGATTTATGTTGATACAAATTCAAATTTTACTAGGTTTAGTTGTGTATTTTTTATTTTGTCATATGATTGCGGATTGTACTTAGTTTGATTTTAATTCTTTTATATGTTAATTTGATGCTATATTGATACATTCTTAGAGTGGTTTACTTGCATATTCTTAGTTGTGCTTTTACTTGTTCATTTACTTTTGCATTCATCATGTTTACTTGCTTTGTTCTACTTACCTTGTTACATTCATGTTCTTACCTTGCTTTCTTTAGTGTAAATGTAGTGTGGAATAAACATTCTTTTTTTTTATTGAACTACATATAGCTTGAGAATGTTGTCCCTTGGTATTTGACCTAGGAAAACCTTAATTTTAATTTTTAACAGAATGATACTTAACTCATCATTATATTACTACAATGACCTGTGTACTTGTAGTCTCAATAACTTTTTAGCACTGTTGCGAAGGATTGAATGGCTATACCTTAGGTTTAATAACAAACCTTCAACATGTTCAACAGTAATTTAGTTCCCCCTTTAGTATATATAGCTTTAGTGTAGATAGTTTAGTGTAGATAACTTTAATAGACCTAGTTATTAAGTTTTTTTTTTAGGTTTTATTTCACTTCTTATGTGGGAATTCAATCTAGATGACGTCAGACAACATAAGGACCATGTTAGACTTCCCTTTCTTATGATGATTCCTCAAAACAATGGTCCTATGAGGAAAGGAAAGCCAAAAAAGAGATGGCCCTTGAAAACTTATGATACGCACAATTAGACTCCCTTATTACTAAAGTAGAGGCCATTAAAGTTAGTCATGATCCTAAGCATATTCTTATCCATTAATTCCAAAGTCAACATGAAAATGATAATGTGAATGAAAGAGTCTATTATAGTGATAGGAGTCATATGATCAATAAACCTATTTTTTTCAAAACACCAGCACTAATCAAGGTTGGGAGGGTTACCCTACTAATATATGGGACACTAGTCTTGGACAATCCTTTATTTCACCACTTATGAACATCCCAAGTTATCCCACAAAGTTTTCATTTCCATAATACCATTTATCACCTTAATACTTTCTATGAATACCACAGTACCCTCAAGTTCCATGTTACGTTCCACCACAACAACATTTTTTTCCATCATAATACCATTCATTTTAACATTACTTTCCATCCACACAATATTCAAAATCTATATTTTTATAGGATTATCATAGATTTTCATGGTCTTTTATGAGGAAATTTTGTTTATTTCTTGAGAAATTATTGAAAAAATAATCGTAATTGGTAAAATGTTCCTTTTGTAGGTATTTTTATGATTTTTGAGGAAAAAAGATTATTTAAAGAGGAATTGATAGCAAATTGGTGCATTTTTCCTTTATTGGCAAAACATAGTGTGCAAAAAAGGCCATTTCTTACTTAAGAATTTTCTAGCTTATTTTAGTTGTTTCCATGTGCATTTGAGCTTAATTAGACCAACTTCAAGTCTTGATTTTTATACTTACCTTGCATATTTTCTTACTTAAGCTAAGGAAAGTTGCTTGAGCTTTTGTAGAGAAAATGTATAAAGGCTTAGGGAAGAAGGTGCAAAAAGTTATGGTTTCAAAACCTTTTGAGGGGCTAATTTAGAGCTTGATTTTTGGTATTTAAATTGCCTAGTTGGCATTTAAAAGACATGTCATTGGCTGAAAATGTCTTTTATGGATCACCAAAATTGGTGCCTAAAGGAAAAAGCAAGAAGATATGTAAGTAGTCGAATATGAAAGAGCTTTATGAGAGTATTTTGGTAGTGCAAGTGTGATCACAGGTGGAGGCCAATAGTTGTTGCTAATTTGGCACTTCCAAGACTTCTTATTGGTTCAACTTAAGTGCACTTAAAGCTTGAAGAACTTAAAGAGAAGAAGACTTAAAAAGAAGAGAAGAAAAGAATGCATACAAGAGAGTTTCTAAAAGTTTTTAAATAAGTTAAAAATATCCTCTCCAAATGGGATCGTAGGTGGCATTTTAGAGGGATCTCATTGGCTAATATAGATCTAGGATTTATCAATAAATAGGACTAAAAGTGGTAGTAATTGGAGAGTTTTGACACCAAAGTAACCCCACTAATAAACTCATGTACCAAAGCAAAGGAAAGCTTATCTTTGACTTTAATTTGTTGAGTCAATGAACTCTTCATGTTGGTTGAATTATGGAGATTGGTCTTACATTGGCTGGATTGAAGAAGGATAGAATATTGGTCAAAATTGGCTATGTTCACATTAGCTGAGTTAAGGTTGAATTTAGAGATTGGATGATTGGTTTTAACTCCTTAATGTTAGAATGTAATCCCAATTTTAAAGGGAATTGACTTATTTCCCTAATTTAAGAGGTAGATTTCAGCAATGAAGCAATTAATTGAAGATTCTTTAAATTTAAGTACAATTCTTCATTCAAGGGCTCAAGTCAAGCTCCATAATTTTGGTAATCACATAATTCAAAAGTTAATAAGATTTTTCTTATACTTGGGGGGAAATTCCAAGTTTTCCTATTTATTTTTATCTTGATTATTTCTTAAGCAGTCTTGAAAAGTATTTTTATGTTTACAGTCTTTTAGTTTAGAACCAAACCTTTGTTCTTCTTAGGGGGATTAATCAGAGTGGTGAGTCTCTTTTAAGTTCTGTATCCTTGATTAAAAATCCTAGGATGGTATTTCTATATCCTTTGGATGATAATCTAGGTGGTGGACTTCTATTCCATTTCCATTCAATAAATCAACTTTCCCATATTCATAATTTTCATGAGCCATATTTAGTGTGTTATCTTCTTCTTTCTCTACCTTAAACAACCTATGAAAAACTAAACCACTTTGTCAGCATCAAAAAATTAAAAATTTTAAAATGTTTAATGGATTTGATATTGAGAGAGAAAGAATATAAAGGGAGCTTGGGATTAATTGGGATAATTGGTCCATTAATAGAATAAAAAACAAAAGAAAAAAAATGAAGCAAATTGGATAAATATCTAGTTCAATGACTTCTTTCTACGTTGACTAGCTTTCTTTCTCTCCACCAATCCTTTGTCTTTAGTATTTCTCTCTCTTCTTTTCATTTCCTTTTTAGAATTAAAAAAAGACTTGATTATATGCCATTCATTTTTTATTTTTGTTTTTTCATCCTTTTCCATCTTAAGCTCTCTCTTTGTGCACCTTTCACTCTTTCTGTCTTAGCCCTTGTTCTTTTTACTTTCTTTTTGTTACTCTTTATTTTTTTCTTTTAATTTGTTTACTCTTTTCTCCTATTGTTTTATATGATCTTTTTTATTATTTATTCCTCTTGTTTCTCCGTTTCCTTTTCTTTTTTTCTCTTTACGATGTGCAAATAATTTTTTAATTAAAAAATTAATTAAATGATTCAACTAATTCCATAATAATCACAATGACTCAATTAATTTTAAAATCAACATTTAATACTACAATACACGTGTCTTTGAATTATGTTTTAATTTCACAAATGGTCAAATATGCATTTAGGTGTTCGGGGACAGTTTTTATATAATGGTATTTATTATTGTTATTATTATTATAAACTTTTTCCATTTAAAATGTTTTTTGAAAACGTTGAAATTATTGTTTTGCCGCGGCCGCCAATAAAATGACACAGAAAGAACCATATACGATTCCATGACACCGATTCACTGACTCAGTATCTTCATCTCAACTTGCACAAGTCTCGACTCAGTTTTCGATCTCCTTTTCTTTTCTCTTAATCAGTAATTCCCAATGACTAAATCTAATTCTCCCAAATTATTTCCCAATTAATCCAATTTCCAAACTAGAAAAACCCTATATTGCTTCGCAGGCATGGCCGGCCAATCCGATCCTCACATCTCTCTCTTGTCTGCCGAAGAGGTTATCTTCCCTTCTCTCATTATCCTTTATACCTTGTTTTGTAGGAATTTACCCATGATTTTACCTTTTTTTTTTTCTGGTTGTTGGTTAAATCAGGTGGAATTATATGGCTGAAGATAAGCTGATAGAGATTGTGCCAAATATGCGAATGAATTCTCTTAATTTCATCTGTGTAATCTTCAATTCTATTTTACTTCTCAAATTTCTTCTCTTTTAAAAAGATAAATTGGTTAATTTTTTTTTTTATTTTGATAAATTGACAGGGCGATTTTGGTCCATTTTTGCCTCAAATAGCAACTCAGGTGCCGCTGTGGCTAGCGGTGGCGTTAAAGAAGAGAGGAAAATGTGCGATTCGGCCTCCTCAGTGGATGTCAGTTGGTTAGTTAGTTTCTTCCTCTCCATTTTTTGATTTATTTATTTTCGCTTTCGAAATTGAACTAGAATTGTTAGTTTGTAACACTTGATTTGGTGATATTGTTTTGAGTCATGTAGAATAATTCAATTTTATATTCAAATAGGGAAAAGGTATTAGATTTACTTAAGATTTGCTTCATGTTTTTCTAGTGCCATGATTTTACCAATCAAATAAAATGCTGGAATGTATGCATGCAAGTACTTGAGTACTTTCATTACTTATATTTATGTTGAAATGTTTCTCTGAATTAAGCTAATAAATTGGTTCTATCTTCTGTGTGTTGTTACCAACGAACCAAGATTTTCGAAAAATTTTACTATAATGTTTCCTTGGCAAGGAGAGAGAAACAAGTTTTCATTTAGAAAGGTCCATCCTTTGTGATGTTTTTGTCACATGTATTCTTTGAATAGGGCTCAGAAGTTGCATTGAGAAAAGCTAGGTAATAAATAGAGGGTTTTTGGGTTACGTTTCTGTCGTATAAATACATTATAATGTTTCTTCCCATTTTTTGGTTGTGGACTAGAAAATTTGACATGGGTTTTGGAAGGAGAACGAGACTCCCGAGGGGCATTTCAGGCGCTGCCATTTCATTATGTGGAGATATCTAGACTTCTTTTTGACCAGTAAGCCTTGCTATACTTTTTTTCTTACTATTATACAGTTTAAATTGACAAAGGCTTAACGTACACTGCTATTTTGTGGATGGAAGTTCGCGTGATGACATTCCTGACATGTATATGGTGAGTTGGAGGATCTTTTAACCTTTTCTTTATTGTCCGATTGATTTCTGCAAGTAGTTAGTTATGAATCCATTTTACAGGTGAGGTCTCTTATTGAAGACATAAGGGATGTACGGATTCATAAAGTTGAGACTAGCTCGGAAAAGTTCAGTGGGACATCTGCTGTGAAAGTATGCTTTTTTCCCACCCTTGTGAATTTATTGATACTTATTATCAGGTAGTTTTAGGCACATATATTTCTCTATTGAACTGGATTTCCTCAATGATCTTTCTGGTGATTATGAATCTTCCATCAGATTTATTTTTGGCTTCCTCTTGATTTCCATGCCTCTAATCTCTTGAAATTGATCAGATTCCGAATTTATCAGCTATGGAAGTGAATATAATTCGTCCATTTGTTAGAAGGGTGCTACAGGCATTTTATAACCATGATAATCCAGGGAAAATACCAGATGTAAATAGAGCATACGGTGGACACACCCGTGTAGCTGATAATGAGCCAAGAGTATGTTCTTGTTTGCTATTTGTCTGCGTCTTACCAAAAGGTTATACCACTATATGATAATTGCTTGACCACTTGTCTACATATATTTTCTGAAAAGATTTTCATCCTTTGCCTACTGATTTCTGAGTGTGTTTGGAAGACATGTCTAAAGGTGGCAAGCCCGGGATGATCATGATTATAAGAATTTTATTACTAGATCATGGTTTCTAAACTAGTAGTTTTTTTTTTTTTTGTTTTTAACAGCGGCCACTGAGGAGATAACAAGTCGTTTTTATATTTGATTCCTTTCCTGTATGGAAACTTCAGCCAGCCAGCAGTGGAGGTACTTATGTTCTCTTTGAAACACTTTTTGGGGAATCCTACTTGGTGCATTTTTCTTTGTAGTTGTGAAATAATTGTGGCATTTGTCTCGAACCCTTGTTGAGTAAAGTCGTTAATTTATTGTAATAGCCATTAAAATTATGATTTCCCACAAAGCTGTGAGAACCTCAATACTAATGGATTGTATTATGGAGAGAATTCTTGTTAACTGCAACATCATTTACTGCATTATTCTAAAGCCCTTGTGATTGCTTTGGTGTCATCTTTTGGCCTAGGCTTGATATTTTGCATGAGATGAGAATGCAGTGGTAAACTAGGAATATTGCATGTTGTTTGTCATGGAAAAGATTTATGAGAATTTAAGCCAAGTCAGGAGAAGGATGTTGATGTGATTTTCCTTTTTTTTTTTTGGGCGGGGGGGGTTTTAAGAAAATACAACATAGGGACAAATGCATTTGTTGCATGTGGCGTCAACGTAGAGATTGCCTAAGATGATCTGATCAGGGACAATAACGAGTAATGCACCAATATAGAGTTGTCACTTACGCTAACCAACACAAAGAGTAAACAAAATCTCAGCTGAGATAATCGAAAAACACAATTGCTGACAATTTAAAGGAAAATGTGGCCCTATAGAGCTTAGTGGTGGAAAGTGATGTATCCTAGATGGTGCTCTATTTTTATTTTCAGTATTCATTTTATATATACTTCATTGTTGGACAGTTCCTGATTGATTATTATTCATCTATCTAGCAAAAAACTTTTGCTTGGTGTTATTTATCGAGGAATTGCAATTTGGATGTAAACGACTGGGTTATTGTTGTCTGGGGCGTACCTTTCTCTCAAGTACACCTTTTCTTGTTCTGTTTGAACAGAATCTCCTTTTCATCTTGAATGCTAGAGTAGGCATTCCTGAAAATTAGCATTTCCATTTATTTAATTTAGTAGAATTAGTATGGGGAGGTTGTTTGATATGTAAAACTTGAAGCCCCGTCGAAGAGGTCCAAAAGCTTATTCCTTTTGTCCATCACATCCATTGTGCCAAATGTCTATCCTTTGCGCCAGGAGTCACAAAAGAGAATCCATCTTGTTTTTAGAAAAGATGGGGATCGAAGACGAGCAGAGAGGTCTGCATTGTCCCAAGAAGCCAGGTAAAGAACTCCGGAAAAGTATCTCATTTTTCCTTATCTGACCCACTACCCCTAAGGGGATATTAAAGTAGTGTTAGTTTGCACATGCTCTAGGTCCTCTAGACTTTCTGTCTTCAGTGTAAGCTTAAACTATAAATCATAAATAAAGGAAAAAGGATGGTTATTATGCACAACTACCTTGGAGAGCAAAATATCAAATAAATATTTTATGGGGAGAGGGAATACAGATGATAAGTTAAACGAAATGAATCTTTAACTAATTTAGAGTTTAGTTTAATTAGTTTGTATAATTATTTTTAATAGATAACATTAAATAAATTTAATATTTAATAATTTAATATTATAAAATTTTTTATTTTTTGGGTTATAATCTCTTTTATATAAAAGAAAATCTTAACATGATTTTTAGTCGACTGAGCTGTGAGTTTGAGGATGTGTCTGAAACTGATCTTGGTTGTTTTCAAAATTTATGCCATGGAAGTAATATAGGGATTCAGGAGAAAACATTGTTACCTGCACTTCAGATAATTTATTTCGTTTCTATCCTTTGTGATTTAATTCTAAGGTATAATTGCAGCACTGTAATTTTTTGTCTGTTTGGATTTTGGGTATGCTTACTTTATGTTTGAGTGAACCTTCAAACGTCTCTTTGCTATTTGGATCTTAGTGGACAATTATTTCTAAATTATAGTAAAGCTTTCTATATTGAATCTATCTGCCATATTCCATAGCCTGCATTTCCTTTCAAATTTGCAACCTAGGTTAGAATCTAAGCCATTTGGCACCTAAATTTTTTTCTATCAAGCTTTAGCTGGCTTGCAATTTTTCTTTTTGGGAGGGGGGGGGGGGGCGGGGGACTTGTTTGATTCCCTTTTAGGGGCGTTTGATATGGGGAAAAGTAATTTTTTCTTTTGAAAATTTATTTTTTATAATTTAATTCCTTAATTTGATTTACGAAAATATGATTATTGGAGTTTTTAAAAATTTTTAGTAGTGTCAATGAATGAAAAATTAGGAAGAATAAAAACATTCTTTTCTTGAGGTTTTTTAAAATTTTGGAGGAAAAGTGAAATGTTTTTTTTCTAATTGCTCCACTTAATTGTATTTTTAAATTATATAAATAATGTTATTTATTTTAAAAATATAGTAATTTTTTATAAAATATTAAAAAAATAATTTTTTAATATATTTTAAACAAAGATTATGTTTTTAATATAATGTCATTGAAATTATTACACAAGTTATGATGAAAAACATAATTTTTGTTAAAAAGTTGAAAAAAAATTATTTTTCATAATTCAATAAAGGCGATATTTTTAAAATAAAAGATGTAATTTTTGTTGACAAGATAATGTTTTGAAGATAAAAATGCAAATTTTATTGTAAATATAAAAGAATATTTTTTAAAATTCAATAAAAATGATATTTTTAAGATAAAAAATTAGTTTTTGTTGAAAACATGAGTTAAAATATATTTTTCAGATTTCAATAAAAACAATATTTCTAATATAGAAAATGTAGTTTTTATATAAAATATGTTAAAAAGTATAGTTTTTAAAATTTAATAAAAATAACGTTTTTAAGATAAAAAATATAATTTTGTTGAAAAGATGTTTTGAAGATAAAAATATATTTTTTGTTGAAAACATGAAAAATATATTTTGAAAAGTATTTAATAAAAATGATGTTTTTAAGATAAAAATATAATTTTGGTTGAAAAGATAACTTTTTTAGGATAAAAAATACAGTTTTTGTTGACAATATGAAAAAATGCAATGCAAAATTTTTTATTTAATATTGTTATATATAAAATATAAAATATATTTATTTAATATTATTATAATATAAAATTTGTTTGAAGGGTTTTATCCTCGAAAACTCAGGAAAGGCTCCACATGTTTTATTTACGTAGGGATTATAACGTTAGGATAGCAATTAGAATTGTAAGATTTATTTGTTAAAAGTATATAAAATTATTTTTCAAAATTATTTAGTTTCAATAAAGATAACTTGTTATTTATGTGTTACATATTATTCATATATCAGTATTATGAATGTCATGTTTATTACATGTTATTAAGAACAATATAGTAAATGATTTTATTAGATATATAGTAAAAGATTTTATTAGGTAATTTTATATTCTTGTGTACCAAACACAAAAATTTTACATTTTCTATATTAACAAAATTCATGAATTATTCATTTTTCTTCAATTTAATTTTTTTTTCCTAAATCACTTTTCTTTCTAGAATTTAAAAATTTGTGAGTCAAAATCCTTTTAAGGTTTGTTTTTAATGCAATTATTAAATTTCCTTTCGAAAGAGACTTAACATTTGTTGTAGGTATGATTTTCGACATTGAAAGAATCCAATAACTTATCATTAATAGTAGAATAATAAAAGATTTATATTTGCAGTTGTTAATCATAAAATAATAATAAAAAAAAACTACATGTGAGCCATTAAGCCTTTGCAAAATGATTTTTCATTTTTTTTTTCTTTTTAGTGAAGAATAAGTATTTGATTGAGCAATAAGATTACAAGGGGTTGCCATGACTTATGAGGAGCAAAACTGTTAGGCTAAAAAGGCTCCAATCTATCAAGCTAGTGGAAGCAAAATCAAACAATTGATTAAGCATAAGAGAGATAGTAATTTAACATGATTTTGTCAAATTGATCTACATCAATAGATGAGAAAAAATGTTCATTAGTTGTAAAGAATTACATCAAAATAAATCAATCAGCACTCAACAATCAATACTTATAAATCTTTTTAATCTTTTATTAATCTTATGGAATATTCTAAATCCAAACAAATAATACCCATGTGCACCAACGCACCATACCTATATGAATTTTTTCAATCTCTTATAGTCCATTCTAACATACATATCTATATTTATGTGGATCATTTTAATCTTCTCTAGTCCACTCATAAATATACAAACATACATACCTATAAGATGTAAATCTCGAGTAATCTTATGGGATGTTTATCCTATAAAACCTTACAACTCTCTTACATCTTTTTTTCTTATTTAACTTTGTAGAGACCACCCATTTATAAGCATATAAACTTACTTATCAAGAGTCTCTTTCTTCTTAGAATTATTTTTCTATAAGTTTTTTTGTTCATCAAGTAACATCTAGCAAATCTCAAACAAATATATTTGAGATTTGAGTCACTATTTCTAACAATCTCCACCTTGACTCAAATTCTATCAAATCATTTGTTTTCATGCTAGACATGCTTGACTCTACCTGCAATAGAAGTCTCATAATAATTTTCTCTCGTGTGCTTTCAAACTTCATGCAAATCGATTTTTAATCTTTAAAACATGAACTTGAACATTTCCTTTGAATTGAGCTCTTTTGGGCTTGCTTCTTTTCATGTCTCAACCTTCAACTCTAGTACCATTATTAGACTAAAAAGCCTTCAATCAATCAAGCTAATGGAAGCAAAATCAAACAATTGATCAAGCACAAAAGAGATAGTAATTTAACATGATTAACTCCAATCGACCTATTTTCACGAATGAGAAAAAAATTCACTAGTTGTAGAGAATTACATCAAAACAAATCAATCGGTACTCAACAATCAATACTCATAGACTTTTTTAATCTCTTTTAGTTTTATAGAGTATTCTCAATCCAAACAAATACATACCCATGTGCATCCGTACGTCATACAAACATAACACCCATAAGATGTAAATCTCTAGTAGTTTTATAAGGTGTTTATCCTATAAAATCTTATAACTTTCTTACATTTTTTCTTATACCTAATTTTATAGAGATTTTACCTATTTATAAGCATGCAAATTTGTCTATCAAGGATCCATTTCATCTTAGAATTTTTCTTCTGTAAGTTTTTTCGTTTATCAAGTAATATCTAGCCAATCTCAAAAAAAATTTTATAAGATTTAAGTCACTATTCGTAACAATCTTTATCTTCACTCAAATTTCATCAAATTATTTGTCTTTATGCTAGATATGTTTGGCTTCACCTACAATGGAAGTCTCATAATAATTTTCTTTTATGTATCTTCAAACTTCACGTAAATTGATTCTCAATATTCAAAACATGAATTCAAACTCTTTCATTGAATCGAGCTTCTTTGGGCTTGTTACTTTTAATGTCTCAACCTTTAACTCTGATATCACTGTTAGGCTAAAAAACCTCTAATCAATCAAGCTAGCCGAAGAAAAATTAAATAATCGATTAAGCACAAGAGAGATAGTAATTTAATATGATTCAACCTAACCAACCTACATCTACGGATGAAAAAAAAGATCTATTAGTTATAGAGAATTACATCAAAACAAATCAATCAACATTCAATAATCAATACCCATAGACCCTTTCAATCTCTTTTAGTTTTATGAAGTAGTCCCAATCTAAACAAATACATACCATTTGCATTCATGCACTATACAAATATACACACCCATAAGATGTCAATCTCTAGTAGTCTTATGAGGTGTTTATCTCATAAAATCTTATAATTCTTTTACATTTTTTCTTATACCTTATAGAGACTTCACCTATTTATAAATATACAAACTTGCCTATCAGTAATCTCTTTCCTCTTAAAATTTTTCTTTTGTAAGGTTTTTTGTCTATCAAGTAATATCTAACTAATTTCAAACAAAATCTCTTATGGGATTTAAGTCACTATTCTCAATAATCTCTACCTTGACTCAAATTTAATCAAATCATCTATCTTTATACTAGATATACTTTGCTCCACTAACAATGAAAGTTTCATAACAATCTTTTTTTGTGTATCTTCAAACTTTACACAAATTGATTCTCAATTGAACTTTTCCATTGAATCAAGCTCTTTTGGATTTGTTTATTCTCATGTCTCAACTTTCAGCTTTGATACCATTTGTTAGGTAAAAAGCTTAATCTAATTAAGCAAGCAGAAGCATAATCAAATAATCAATCAATCACACAAGAGATAACAATTAATGTGATTAAGCTCTACCGATCTACATCCATGAATGAGAAAAAAGATCCACTAGTGTAGAGAATTACATCAAAACAAATTAATCAGCACTCAACAATCAATACTTATAAATCTTTTGAATCTCCTCTAATCTTATAGACTATTCTCAATCCAAACAAACACATACCCATGTGTACCATGCATCATATTTATGTGGACTCTCTCAATCTCTTATAGTCCATTCGAACATACACACTAATACCTATGTGAACCATCTCGGTCTTCTCTAATCTACTCACAAACATATAAATATACACACCCATAAGACTTAAATCTATAGTAGTCTTAT